CAAAAAGAATCGAGAACTGGTCGATTAGTTTTTTTTTTTGGGAAGCTGATGAAGGAGGGCAATTGTAGTAGGCCTTGCAGTAGAGAGAATTCATGAATTTGGTTCGTGTTATCTATTATTTTGTTTTTCATCGGCATTTTCAGGCGAGCTTCAGAAGGTCTAAAAATGGGCTTTTGCATGTGAAACCTTTAATTTGCAGCCTGTGAAGTTTCTGGATATATGAAAGACGAATGCTGTTAGCACCCAAACCGTCTTTTGTTAGAGCCGTGCCATTGATTCGGGGAATGAAATATTTCCGTTGAGTATCTCTACTGGCTAATTAAAAAGGCTTAACATACTGAGCTGAATTTTGTTGGAACTTTACTAGATTATTATTTTTAGTTTCTTGGTGGAAAGAGCAAAAGTTTTCTGAGACAATGTCGACAGAGGCTAATTGATTATAATTGGCTATCGCGGAGCACTGGCTTTTATGCTTTTGAATTATGTCTCAAAACGATAATCTTGAACGAAGTGCTAGTAGTGAGGTACAAAAGAAGTTAATATAACAACATGGCAAACATAGTCCGGTTGTTCTTTCCAGTCGGGTCAAAATGAAGAGATTCCTAGTGCAGTTATGAACAGGAAGCAATCATCGCAATCATCGGAAGTGAAACAAAAGTTGGCTGTAAATGGCCTAATTCTTCTGTGATATCTTTGCTATGGCTGTGTTAAATAGTTGTATACATTGGCAGTTATAGTTCCACCAGGAACAATTCTCATTCAATCCATATCAGTGCTATCAATGCTTCAGTTAAACGGGATCAGATATGTTACATAAAATTTTGATCTATCATTTTTGAACATTACAGTTAAATTACAGAAATGATTATGAATTCGAGAGTGAACAATATATATTTTCCTTTGAATAATAATCGTAATCATAGTCATAATCGTAATAATTCTTTGTCAAAAAAGAGAAAAAATCTTAGAAAGGAGAAAGGATGGCACACACCAATATGAATGAAATTATTGTTATCAATAACTGTATTTACTGACACAACAATTTATATAGTAAGCAACGAATGACAATTTTCCTTTCCTGTTTGGGGAACAGTTCATCGAATACATACAATTATAAATTTTAAATTTGTGAAGGTAGCATCTGTTAGATTATTTAATCTAATATGGTCTAATCAATCATTCCCAGTGGTGAGTAGTTCTGCCTGTTTTTCAATGTGTGTATTGATGATCTTTTTCCCACGATATGAGTAATAGCAAGGTTAGAAGGTTAATTATTCTTTGAATTAGTTAGGATAAAACTGGAAATAAAGGAAGAATGAGTTAAGTGAAGGATTTGTACGTTCAATACTTTTGTACATAAGGAACCTCGAAGTTGATCCTCAACTCATAACAGATATCTACGGGTGAGTGAGTGCCTATGGGAAGGTATGTTGGAATGAGTTCAGCGGGAGAGAGAGAAAGCAACCGGAGACAAGCACGTACACCAACCACCAATGAACCAACCATCACCAGCAACAACCAACCAACGGACCAGCAGTCCTTCCTACCAATCATACCAAATCAGGCATACATCAGGACAAGAACAGAGGAATGTGTATGCAGTGGAGAGTTAAACAAATAGACAGACAGTGAGTCGATTGTGTCATTTATCGCCATGCCTTGAAGGGTACCATAAGTTGTAGGGCTGTTCTTCATTGCGATGATGCTTTACAGCTCGTCGTCCAAGTGGAATCAAAGATACATTATCCTCTGTTGGTGTCGACCGTCGTTTCCTTTCTGTCCCGATCTTCAGCTTTCTTCTTTTTTAATTATGCACACATTATTGTTCACGTCGAGTTGACCTTTGACCTTCTGGACACATTCAAACTGTTGTGGCTTTATACTTCGAACAGAAGCCGTATTTTTGCTGCTGTTTTCTCTTTCCCTCCTTTACTGTCTATGATTTTCATACCTGTTCTGAAAAGGGAGCCTATACAAGTCTGTCAGTGATGTGTCATTTAAATTTTCGAACAGATCCTTCACGAATATTCATATCTGGCTAATGTATTTTTGCCACGTTAGTTCCTACAACAGCGTGCCTATAGTGTGCGTTCATGTCATAGGCCTAGCAAGTGAACAGCATTTTAC